AGACTGGCAGGGTAGAGTCCTGCAGTGTATCCGGACTCAAGTTCCGAACCTGCACTGCCCCAGCTAAGGCTCAGGTGTAACCTCTGCCTTTCTTGTCTAATCTTGACCTTGGGAAGTTGCCTTTAGTCTTGAGTCCTCAAGCCAGCCCTTTCTGCCCATAATAAAGTTTTAAGTTATTCAAACACTTAACTACAGCTTTCCTCTGCTTCACACTCTGGTGCTGATAGCCAACCTAGACTTGGTCAGGATGGGAGGAACCTCAGAGAACCTCAGACCCCCACACACACACTTTGTGCAGACTTTCTTGTGGAGTAAAATCGAGGCCCAGAGAAGGGCCAGGACTTGGGACTTGCCTCAACTGCATTCCTCACCCTCTGTCAATTTGATGATAACAGTAGCGGTTACTGGTGTTGGGTGTTGGGTGCGATGGCTGGGTGGGTCAGGGGTGTCGTGCGCATGTGTGTTTGTAGAGGATGGGGGCTTCTGACAAGGAAGACACAGACATTCCCAGAGGAGAGAGAACTGCCCCAGTATGGGCCGTGGGCCGGGAGGGCCAGGGACTTGCAGAATTAGACAGGAGGAGGAGGAGTAGCTAGTAGGATGTTCGTCCCACAGGAAAGCAAAGATAGCTCCTGCATTCACTTGTAAGGTGGTCAGAGGGGACATGTCTTGAAGTTGCATTTGCATAGTGAGCACATGTTCATATCATGTGTTTAATTGGGGAAGCTGTTGGGAACATATGGTATAATAAAAAAAATTTTGGCCTTTGTCCCTGATTTTTGGAGCAGAACTCATAAAACCCATAGAATTTCTGAGAAACAGGAGTGTCTGTTATTCATGAGGCATCCCTTTGAACCTTCACATTAGAAAGTCAGAACTTCTAACCCATCCCTGCCTCCAGGGAGGGGAGAGGGACTTTGAGCTCAATCACATGGCCAATAATTTAATCAGTCATGGCTATGAAATAGAACCTGTTTAAAAATGTTACATCAGATTTAGTTTAAAGATCTAATTAGCTTTTATTAACAAGTCTTGGCAACATCTCATTCTATAAAATAGAATGGGTGTTCCAAATTGCTTAGCAGTGGGGGTTGGCTTTATAGTCAGAAAAGGGCTGAAGAAAGCAGAAATAAGGAAGAAAAGGGTATTGGTTCCTTCAAAGTTACTTTCCCTACAGGGCCAAAATGAGGGGGGTTTCATATCATGCTGGCTCAGGTAAACTGTACTCCCGATTGGTTGCTGTGAATCTTCTGAGGGGTTTTTTGGAAAACTGGCCCATTTCAAAGTTCAGTGTGATTAAGTGGCACTTAGCACAGGTGACTGTTCTAGTTTGGTCCGGTTTATTGGGGTCTAGTGCAGGAGCTCAGTCCAAAACAATGGTCTCCAATATGTTTTTGTTTAACAAAACCTATATAAAAACCCTAAAACTGGGCCAGACACTGTGGCTCACTTCTGTAATCCTAGCACTCTGGGAGGCCGAGGCGGGAAGATTGCTTGAGGCCAGGAGTTGAAAACCAACCTGAATGAGAGCAAGACCCTGTCTCTATAAAGAATACAAAAATTAGCTGGGCGTGGTGGCTGACATCTGTAGTCCCAGCTACTCAGGAGGCTGAAGCAAGAGGATCACTTGAGCCCAGGAGTTTGAGGTTGCCGTGAGATATGATGATTTGAATCCATCTCAACCTATGTGTGAATTAGCAGCAAGATTCAATGTTACTATTCCAACAATATTGAACCATTTGAAACAAGTCAGCAAGGTAAAGAAGCTGGATAGATGGGTTCCACATGAATTAAATGAGCATCAGAAGAGAAATCATCTTGAAGCTTGCCTTTCTTTGCTATCATGACATAAAGGCAAACCATTTCTGCACTGTATTGACACGTGTGATGAAAATGGATTTTTTGAAAAATGGAAACCGTCCGCAAAAAGGGTAAAAAAAAAAGGCCGAAAAAAAAGCCCAAAACCAAAAATCCACAAAAAAAAGCTAATGGTGTCTGTTTGGTGATCCAGTGCTGCTATTATCCACTACAGCTTCATGAAACCTGGTCAATCAATTACAGCGGATGTCTACTGCAACCAGTTGGATGAAATGAGGATAGTTGTGATTAAGCAGACGAGATTGGTCAATAGAGACAGGTCAATCCTCTTGCAAGACCACTTTGTAAAGTTTTTTAGCGGCAAGGAGAAAGAAAGACAGAATGGGGGGCCAAACAACGTGGCTTTATTGAGCGCTCCCGGGCGAGGTTCGAGGGGCCCGAGAAGTCGCGCCGCCCAGAAGTTTTGAGCAGGCTTATATATGTTTTAGAGTTGTGGGATGGGGGTTTTTCTGGCGCGAAGAGTTTTAGGGCGGGTATTGAGAAGTAGGAGGGGCTGGTGGTATGAGTGGATTCTAGGAGGGGCTGGTGGTATGTGTGGATTCCAGTAGTCAAAACTTCTCTTATCTGGGTGAACATTTAGGTGTGGTTACTATTTCTTCTTTAGGGAGGGGAGGGGTGCCCACCACCAGCCTTACACATGTGTCGAAAAAACAACACTGCTCAAGCTACAGAAACTGGACTTAGAAACTCTCTGTCATCCCCGGTATTCACCAGACCTTGCACCAGCTGACCACCACTTCTTCCAGGCTTTGGACCCCTTCTTGCAAGGAAAAATATTCAATTCTCAACAAGCTGTGGAAAAGGCCTTTCAGGATTTCATCACCACTTGTTCTCCAGGCTTCTTTGCTGCTGGCATAAGCAAGCTACCGTTAAGATGGCAAAACTGTGTCAATAGTTTAGGCACATACTTTGACTAATGGTACTGCTTCTTGTTTGAGATACAAGAAACTCAACTTTTGATTGAAAATCGGACATTTCATATTTAATGACCTAGTTTTATTTTGAAAAGAGTATCACATTCACTACTGACAAAATGGCACAGGCACTTTGGAAGAGTTGACAATTTCTTATAAAGCCAAACACAGTCTTACCACAATATCCAACAATCCTAGATTTTAACCCTAATGAACTGAAAGGCCATGTCCACATGTAAACCCACCCACAAATGTTTATATCAACTTTATTTATAAGTGCCAAAAACTGGAAGCAACCAAGATGTCTTTCCAAAGGTGAATGGATAAACAAACTGTGCCACATACATACAATGAAATATTATCCAGCAATAAAAAAAATTGAGAGGCCGGGCACGGTGGCTCACGCCTGTAATCCTAGCTCTCTGGGAGGCCAAGGCGGGCGGATTGTTTGAGCTCAGGAGTTC